AAGCAAAAAAATTTCGCTTAGCACGAAGGAAATTTAGCGGTATTTGATATTTGAATATTTTCGGATTGTCCTTGATCTTTCAAAAGAAAAAACCTTCCTGTAGAAAAAAACCCTCGCAAAAACAGAACGCAGCATAAACGTATCACCTTTTGACGATAAACAACTCAAAATACTTTTACAGGGGCATCCACGGACGCTAAATTTAAATCAACTTTTTCTGCGGGAATATCTCAATAGATGTGATCTGTACATAATGAACACTCTGAGGATTTTTTGCTTTGAGAAGAGGTAAATTTTGAAGTTTGAATCAGCGACTTAAGCCGAAAAGAGCTGGTAAATTTGCGAAGCGAGTAAGCTGCGAACTACGATACCCTCAGTTCTTCAAAAGAATGATGGAACGGAGGAACTGAGAAACAATAGAACGGTGGATCAGCGGAGTTACGGATTATTTTGGGTCGCGGAACGATCGAATACGTTTTACGCATGAAAAAAAAAAGCCTCAATAAAATGGAATTGCAATAAAATAGCAAAAATATTCATAATTGACATGCGAATTAAAAAGAAGCGTAGGCATGTTGGAGTCCAGAGGATTGGAAAACATGAGTCTTTCGAGCTAGCCCCTTTAAATTATTGCTATATTAACATTGTTAGCATTATTATTATTATTATTATTTTAATACTATTATATGTTACTACTTTTAAGTACTGGTTCAATGTCAATTGGAGAATATATTCCTGAATCATCTTTCTCTTGTGGAACAGGGTACTTATCATTATGTGGGATGAGGCAGGGTTTCTGTTTAGCATGTGAGACAAATATTCTGCAACTCTACGTGCTAGCGTCACTATAACACCTCTGGCTTTTTTAATGCTATTAAAATTGTTTTTCACCAATGGCCAGATACAGTCTTTGACTGTCTATTTTTGTTCTTAATGCCTTGCATCTAGGTACGACGTATTCTGAGTCCTAAATTCCAACAGTTCTTGGCCTATTTGATAGAAAAGTGCGGACGAAATCAAACCAATGAAGGTACGTTTATCGAAAACCATGTTTTTGGGAAATAAGGACTATCATCATTTTGTCGTGCGTTGAAGACGCGGTTTCTCAAAACAAACCTGTTCTACTGAAGTTTATGTCAAAATATACTTAACATTGACATTAGATCAAGTAATTTTTTGTACAACCTCTGTCTTCCGAACAACCATAGGCATGAGAAATTCATTTCTCACTTTGAGCAATGCCTAGGGTTAATTTTGATTAGTTTGATTTTTCCCGGTTGAGGGTATATCAAGACAACCTGCATGAAGGGAAGTCATCACCAGAGTCCTGCTGAGCGGATTTGCATATTTAAGAGTGGTCCTCTGTGATGTCAGCTTTAATTGATTTAAGCATTTGTCGTGCAAGGTTGTTTCACGAAATTTCATTAGATCTTGAAATCTGATTAAGTTTCATTGCAACTCGATGACCTTCTGGTGATTGCACTTCTGCATGATTATCTTAAAAGTACTATCTTCGGTGACGCTGACTACTGCTTTAGATATGACGCACTGATCAGCTCACTGATTCCACAATCATGAAGGTAAATGTCATTTGAACACGCGTGATTAATGTTATAACTGTTTTCCAAAGGCCAAGATGAGGGGATGGAAATGCGAGTCATCGAAGAAGGTATGAAACGTTTATTCGGCTCAAGTAAACATGGGGGTAAAGTCGCTCGATCGAGGTGTAAATAGAGGTTCCGCCCTTTAGTTTCGGTAAGAGTGAAAATTTAATGCCTTCTGAACCAACTAACCCTTGCAGTCGGAGGCCAGAATGGGCGAAGAAAAAAACATTTAAAATAACAGGAAATTAAATCCCGTTGATAGCCGTCGGCCTTATTTAAATGCCAAGGTTACCCGGTAAAGTTCAAAAGAAATGTCGCTGATGTTTAAGGGAAAAACTACTTTATGAACATTACTACCTTGCTTTGTTTTTTTTGAAAGAGCTGCCATCAAAGTTACTGTTTTAATAAATACTGTCAAGAGAAAGCTCATAGGAAGTAGCAGTTGTAGTACAGAGCACTTTTATATTATAACTTTTCTCTTTTCAGTTCTAATCCATCGAGAAGCAGAGAGTGATGACAGCGATGACATTGATGACGAACCGAAAGATCAAAGTGAGCATGAGCAAAACGCAGAGCAGACCGATCGTGAAGAGCCTGGCGAGAGAGATGAGACTGAACAGGATGAAAAACCAGAGGATGACCAAGAAGGACAATCAGAGCAGAGAGACGAACCTGAAAAACGAGAAGAAGAATCTGAAGAACAACATGAGGATGACATGGAAAATGAGCCTGACATACAAGAAGAAGAATCGAAAAACGACTGCAAAGAATCCAAAGGACACGTTGAAGATAACATTGAAGATGAGCCTGACAAACAAGATGAAGAACCTAAAAAGGACTTGGAAGAATCTGAGAAGCAAGATGAAGATGGCATGGACGGGGAAGCTGGGGAAGACGAGCAGTTTATCGCGAATAAGGGTATGTATACCAGCTCTAGACTCCGCTTCCTTTGAAAAAAAGACAAGAACTGTGTTGCATTGAGATATTTTTCATCAATTTGGAGGACTAGTTGTGAACAACATCTCCTCGCTACTCCTTAAACAAACTGTTTGTTTCTAGAATCTCGTCACCTTTGTTACCCAGCTGAACTACATTGAGCGGTTTACTCAAATAGTGAAATAACTTTTTTTCTCATTGGAAAGGCTTGGAACTGTTTCTCTTTCCGCAAAGCGACAAGATAGTGTTCTCGGGAAGCGCTTTTGCGAGGTTTGCGTTTTACTACGGTGCCCCACTTTATCTAACAATCTCGCTATGAATTAGTCTGAGCAGAGTGTAAGTATTTAATGCAGCGCAAGTTACTGAATGTCTTTTTTTTGCCTTGTGTCATGTTATTATGCAACAGATAAACACAAAGTACATGAAAATCTCCCAGCAGCCTCAGGGCGAGAGTCTCCAAGAGCACCGCTGGCCACGTTTGACGATGACAGCGACCTTGATCAGTTTTACGAAGCGATCGATGGCGTAAAAGAAACGAGTGTGTAATCAATAACACTGTATTCTCAGAGTAGTGCATTCTTTGTGAAAAAAATTTAATTTGGAATTGATTAAGTAGTTACCTGCAGTAGTTTTCCTTAATAGCGTCAAAATACAGTTGCCTTACGGTTATCAATTCAAGAGGTCATTTTAAAAGACCGGCAGATCAAGTTACCCATAACATTTATCTCTAAGGGTTTTTCCTTGATAAGTAGCTAACCTTTGAGTAGTCTTTTATAAAATTATTTCAGATGTAGATTGAATTTTAGTTCAGTTAGTGCTAAGTGTAGAACAATTAGCAGCATATGGAGTTGTTTAATATATAGGGTCTGATCTGAACAGCAGGCAAACTTAATGGGCTGCTAGGGAAAAGATTACTTTCACCCCTTATTTACATGTCAGTTGTTAAAAATGGTATGATTTTAAGTAGACTGCTGTGTTTTTTGGCATTGCTAAGCCATAAATCATATTTATTCAATCTAACGCTGATATCAGTAGATGGCTCTGTTGTATTACATTGCTAGGCGATGAATCGTAATTATTCAATTGAAACCTGTTACCATATATTGCTATCTTACTTATGATTTGTTTTATTCAATCTTAACGTCTTATGATATATTTTGTAGATGGCTTGTTGTATAGCAATGCTAAGCCAAAATTTGCATTTATTCAGTTTGAAGTCACCATCAGTATCTTATCTACTGTAAGCATTCATTAACAGGCTTTGTTATATAGCAATGCTAAGTCATGAATCATACTTATTCAACCTGAAGTTATGTTAGTTATGATTTTGTCATCACAGTGGTAATATCTAATATGTTTAGTAGATGGCTGTGTTGTATTACAATGCTTAAAGCCATGAATCATATTTATTCAGTCTAAATTTACTAATGATATGTTACTCATGATCTATTTTATCGGAATTGTAACTTCGACTATGTTTAGCAGAAGGTTGTGTAGTTTAACAATGCAAGGCCTTGAGCTGTATTTATCCAATTTCAAGTTGCTATCGATACCTTACTCATGATTTGCTCGACAAAAAAATGCGAGATCTTAAGTAATTAGTAGATGGCTGCATTACTTGACAATGTTACGCCATAAATTGTATTTACCCTACGGCACGCATGTACTAAGTGCTCAGGTCAGATGATGCATGTGTATCTGGCTCACATATTTATTCATTTGGATTTTTTTGCCCTCTCTATTCCTAAGTAAATTTTGCAGCAGATCGTACAAATTGAAAGAAAAAAAGGGTGTTACTGACGTAATACAGAAAGACAGGAAGACGAACATCAACTGAGTGATATGTATCAGTCAAACCTATGTTGGTAAACTGTCAACTATCCAGTGAAGTCACTGTATATTGTCAAGCATGTCTGCCTAAATAAATAAAATTTTTAAAAAAAATTGTGATTTATTCTAGATAACTATCCATTAACCCATAAACCCATTGACTGCTAAGAATGACTAGCGTGTGATTTATCCTTACCATATCACCCCTGAATCAAACAGTAAGGTCACCAGAATAAAGGAAATAATCGCCAAATTCAGAAGCCCTCAATTGTTAAACAAATTCTACTCAAGACAGTATCGAGAATATGCATATTGATGCTAGATGTACATCTATCACCTAAGAGGTCATGAATGCATTTTTTTTTAATGAACATTTCCAGTGCCTCAACAAATTGCCATAATAATCCTAAATTTTCTCATTTGATCTGATCGCCCGCCCCTAATTCAGGATATAAATGTAATCAAGACGAAGTAGTATTCTGGCGGATTGTACGGAGCTGATGGTGGATGTAGAAATGTTACAGTTTGATAAAGTTCTATTCACCCGACAGTGAATTCACGTGTGGGAGGATATAAGGAAATGTTTCACTTGATTTAAAGCAGATCACCAAAACCCACATTCTTCAGTAACCAATCAAAAGCGTCCTGATAGGCCACAATCAAGAGATTACAAACTCTTCTATAATTAATCGGCCATGATAACATGCATGCGGGTAAACAGTGAATCTCTCTTCAAGTTTCTCGATTGCTGCGCTCACCCGTCAGATATTGAGTTGAAAACAAGGAGAGAAATTAACAGACCACATCTACAAACAAACATGTATAATTTTCTTTATTGCATAAACACCATAGGCCTTTACTGACAAGAAAATGCAGCAAATGACCTTTGATTGAGAATGATGAATGTAGTTCCTTTCATTCATCAACCTGACAGAGTGGCATGAAAGGCGAGCGACGTGTCAGCAGCTGATTGGAGAAATCAAACACCAGTAAAAACTCTCGTACTTTTATAACACTTACAAGGGCTGGAAATCCTTCCAAAACACTGAAATTTCGATAATAAATAGACATAGGTCGGACATAGGTTTTATGACCGAAAGACCAAGTATGAAGCTTCATTATTGGAGTTTAACTGGTGTTAACCGGTTGCTATGCAATTTCGTTACCCTTTACACCCTGACCTGACATCAGAATCCAAGTTCTCTTTACTGTTCTCTATACATTTCCTATGCTGCTGACAGGGAGAATTTGAATAACAGTCAAGAGCTTCTTGAGTTGGTGATCATTTCTTTAATTCTCCTGACCTTGAGATGTGATTCAGGGGTGATATTGCGAGGAGAAGTTGGATACTGGTCACTCTTTGGGTTTAAAGGATTCATGTTTGCAGAAGAGTCTGCAAACATTTACACTGAAACAATGGAGCGGTAGTTGTAAAATTTTCGCTGAGTCTTGATTTAGAAAAGTTAGGTATAAAAACTTCCAAAAAAGGAGTAAAAACAATTCAAAGAAGAACTCGAAAAAAAGTGTGTCATTCCAAAAATAAATATTATACAAGCACTTCCGCACAATTTGGAACACCTACCTGACAAACATGGCTTGCCGCGGTGACAGATCGCGATATTCTTGAGGACGAGAACAAATTCAATGACTGAGTTTACACGAAGCAAGATCTTTCTCAGCATCTGAAGCATACTCTAAACAATTTGAACCATCTTCACTGAACAGACTTCAACGAGGCGAGTTTGCTGGGAAAAATGCAGAACGCTAGGGAATTAATGCCATCTTCAACTCTGATTCCTCCAACAAATGAGGCGAATATTTGAAACATTAACACGACATTTGCATTTTTAAGCTTTCTTTGTGTTCGTCTCTGTTTTCGTCTCCGCCCCCAAGCATCAAATCACTTTAAGTAACATGGTCCTTTCGTTCTCTTTACATTCACATAGGACACAAGGCTTTAAAAGATTTTCCAGCTTCAGGATTGAGATGCTCTTACCACCACCATCACCTTCAGTGAATTATTGTTTGGGAGGTTTTGGTAGATTTTCCAAGTCATGACCCAAAACCATCTTTGGCTTTTTTGCTCTCCAAGTCTGTTGTACATGGTAGGTAGGCAATGGTTATGGTCTTACCTCAATCAACTCCTCTTTTGGCTTATTTTTTCCCTGTGTTTTAGTGGTAATTTTTAACATTGCCTTTTCGAGCTTGAAGTACTAATTAGAGGTAAACTTCGGTAAAACTCATTTATCACATGGCCCCAGAATCCTTCACTACTGTTAGTTAACTGTTTATTTGTCTAGTTTTCGGTCCAACTAGTCAATTTATCTCAAAAAAACGTGGGATTTGTCTCATGAATTAAAACTGGTGCTGTTTTCTTCATGTTTAAGTGTTATTCGAAACGAATGGCGTAAGCTGTATTCTGTCCTGTTTATTTCAAAAGGATATTAATGCTTTTGCCTTGCGAAGTGAACTCTGAGTCGAAGTGCACTATGAATTTCAAACCCGTTGAGTTATATTTCACTTTGCTGTATGTTTCGTGATCTTGAAATTCGTATTTCTTGATCCTGATGATAGGAATTAACTGCTATGTTTTCTTCTGTGTAAAGTGATGTGAAGTGACCCACTAATTGGTACTATAGACGGAATGGATGGCTGTGACACTTATTGTGGCAAGCTGTCACTCAAGAGTTTGTCACTATTACCAGAAGTTTACTACTGATATAAACCAATGGCGTAGCCAGGAAGGGGGGGGGTCCTGGGATGCCCGTGAGCCCCCTTGGTAGGTCTTCTTTAGAGCAAACAGCCTACAATATTCAAGTGGCGAAAACGCAATGACAATATCTTGGCCGTAAAAGCCATTGATATGAGTCTTCATGCCGTGATATACGACTGAGCCCGCTGATATACGCGGGAGAGCAGCGGTGTGAATGGTGAGTAGCCTCTGTGACCCCCCCTTTGAAAAATCCTGGCTACGCCCCTGGTATAAGCTATCAGTCTTTTGTTCTATGCACACAATTTGCTTTGACTAATATGCTAATATGCTAAAATTATCGATAAAGTTTTCAAAAGTTTTGTCCAAATTTCACGGAAAACGAATATCTGGAGTGATCAGTTGAAATATTGTCATATTCCTTAAGAGTGTTTGAGCTTCCGGGCTGAGAGCTAATAAATTTCCTGATGATTGAAACCTTATTTTTCTGCCGTGAAATTGACAGAGCCAAACCCCCTGGAAAATGTCTGTAAATTTTTTTAAATAGCAGCCAAGTTGGTGCTCCTTACCATTTAAGGTTACTTCCCACTTTCGCGGGTGTCCTTCAGGAAAAAAAGTTCGTACGCACACTAGTTTCAAGAAAACCCTAAGAAACTTTACATCAAAAGAAAGCTTAATAAGTGCAGTTTGCGATGAAAATGTAATTTAGACAATATTTTCATTTAGGGAATATCAGAAGCCGGTAAGGCGTGAAACTACCGAGGGTCCTCCTTTTGAATTTATTGGGTATCGAATCCTGCAGCACGAGCAGTCTTATTCACAAGGCATCAATCAACAAAAGTATATTAGGCATTTCTGATAGTTTGATTGGTGGTCTAGATATCTGCATCTAAAGTTAGAGTAGCGTAAAATATACGAAACGTTTTGCATAAATGGACCACTTAAAAGATATTTCAGATATTAAAATTTTCTGTCACACATTCGTTTATCATTATCCCTGGAATGTTTTGGCGAGATTTCAGGAAAATCGGTGAAATCTACATAACCTATAAGTTCGCTCAAAGTGTATTTATTCCTCTCAAAACCAAAACAGCGCGAGATTTTAGTTCCTAAATTTTGGCAAACAAATAGCGCCACACAAAGAGATTATTTCGCCTCCTGAAACAGCGAACCAATGGGAAGACGGGACCTCCTGGCATCAATGACTATCGAATGGAAATTTTCCCAGGAAAAATACTGCGTAGCAGTCACATTTTTTTTTATCTCGTTCTGTTGAACATTGAGTAATGGGAAACATTGGCGAAGGAAAACCCGCGGCAAAAAAAAGTGAAGTTGGAAAAACTGCTGAAAGCAAATCAGCAAGTCGACAGACAGCTTAACTTATACTGTTATTGCTGAAATGAGTTCCCTTGGGTAGGTTTATTCATGATTTCATACAATTCGAGGCGATTGCCTATGTTTGGTATCAAGACCGGAACTTGCTTATTAAAGGAACTTCGTTTTTAACCTTATGTAGGACAAATGTAGATTTGATGGCGCTTTCTTGTTTTCTT